GAGAATGAGGTATGACCTTATTGAGGTGTGTAAAATCATAATGGGCACAGATAGGATGAATGCATACAGTGTATTTTTCCCCAAGGATGGAGAATTGAAAACTAGAGGGCAAAGGTTTAAGGTGAGAGGGCAAAGATTTAAGAAGGACATGAGAGAGTGGTGCATATGTGGAATAGGTGGCCAGAGAAAGTGGTTGAGGCAGGTACAATAGCAGCATTGAAAAAAAAAACATATGAATAGCAAGGATTTAGAGGGATATGGACCAAATTCAGGCAATTGGAACGAGCTGAATCGGCACCATGGTCAGCATGAACCAGTTTGAACTGAAGGGCCTTTCTCCATGCTGTATTACTGTATGACTGTATGACCTCAGACTACATTGGGACCTTGATCAAAAGGACCAGTGGGCTGGGGAGTGTCAGATGGAGTTTAATCTTGATAAGTATGAGGTGCTACATTTTACAAGGGAAAATCAGAGCAGGACTTGCAGGCTCCAGGGAAGCCAAACCGAAGGGTCTTCGAGTGCAGGTTCATAGCTCCTTGAAATGGAATTACAGATAGACAGGTCAGCAAAGAACGCGTTTGATACACTTGCCTTTATTGGTCAGTGCATTGAATGTACGGATTGGCAGGTCATGTTGCGACTGTACAGAACATTGGTTTGGCTACTTTTGAAAAACTGCATTCAGTTCTGGTGTCCCCTTAAAATAGGGAAGGTGTTTTTAAACTTGAAAGGGTTCAGAAAATGTTTAAAAGGTTGTTGCCACGGTTGGAGGCTTGGCCTTTCGGGAGAGACTGAATAGGCAGGGCTTATTGGGGCTTATTTTCCACGGAGTGTCGGAGGCTGAGTGATGACCTTCCAGAAGATTATAAAATTATGAGGGGCATGGATAGGGTGAATAATCAAGTTCTTTTGCCCAGAGTAGAGGGATCCAAAACTGGAGGACATGGGTTTAAGGTGAGAGGTGAAAGGTTTAAAAGTAACCTAAGGTGAGCAACGTTTGCTCGCTGCGAGTGGTGCGTAACTGGATTGAACTGCCGAAGGATGTTGTGGAGGATGGGACAATTACAACATTTAAAAGGCTTCTGGATGAGTACAGGATTAGGAAGGGTTTAGAGTGAAATGGGCCAAATGATGGCAAATGGGACGAGATTAATTTACGATATCTGGTTGTCATGGTCGAGGTGGACCCAAGAGTGCTTTACATGTCTATGACTGTATGACAGGAACAGATTGTGAGACAATAATAATCATTCACGCTGCATAAACAGACAGGGACAGATAGATGCACTCGCATTTTCACATAGCAGAGACTGACAGATATTGGACAAACTATCCCTCAATAAACCTGAATCTCTTAACAACACAGTACTATTAACAGTGTAATGCAGTAATCACAGAGTGATGAAACACAGTAATATGTTACACACAAAAGATTGTCATGAACAGAATAAAACACATTGCCACAATTAAAATCTCACAGGACTGTGTTCAAAATATCATTAAATGACAATAACCAGTTCATTTTAGAGTGAGCTCGGAGTTTGATCCGTGTACAAAATTTGGTTTGTGTTTCGCATTTCGTTGCAGATCCTAACAGATCCACATTGTCTCCCACACTAACCAATCACAGCGAGGCTGATGTCATGGATTCTTGTAAACTACCCAATCAGGAACAAAGCTTTCCCCCATTCTTTATTAGCATTGCTGACACCGTTAGCCTATAAAAAGCGAGCTCCGAGTCCGCTTTCCCTTATTCTGTGACTGAAAGTGACCGTCACTATGGCAGATGAGAAGAAAGCGCAGCCAACCTCCAAGAAGGGCGCGAAGAAAATCATCAAGAAGGCGCCAGGCAAAGGCAGCAAGAAAAGGAAACGATCCAGGAAAGAAAGTTACTCCATCTACATCTACAAAGTGATGAAGCAGGTTCACCCCGACACTGGCATCTCCTCCAAGGCCATGAGCATCATGAACTCGTTCGTCAACGATATTTTCGAGCGCATCGGGGGGGAGGCTTCCCGCCTGGCCCATTACAACAAGCGCAGCACCATGAGCTCCCGGGAGATCCAGACCGCCGTGCGGCTGCTGCTGCCCGGGGAGTTGGCCAAGCACGCCGTGTCGGAGGGTACAAAGGCGGTGACCAAGTACACCAGCTCCAAGT